CTATTCCTTACTTAATATTCAGTAACACATTTCGAGCTCCTTTTTGTCTTCGTCTCTGATCCCACCAGAATGTGACATTGCTCTTATACAACACTAAACAGTGAGTTTTCAGAGCTCAGGGTACCTCCAAGGCAGAGAGCTGCAGAGCTGCTACCGAGATGTCTTCCTTTGGCTTCTCCCATGGGGAACAGCATCGGTCCAGACCCCCAACTACGTCAGCAGCACCTGGCCAGCATCTCCTCCCACTCTTCGGATGCTGCTCACCACCATAGAGCATTAAGCTCTGTAGCCACGGGGACTGAGTGTTTGCACAGTTTCTAAAGTAAACCAATTTTATTCTCTGGGTACCAATGCAATCAAAGTAACAGAGAAACAAAATTCATCTGTGCAATCTATCAGGCCAATTGTGAGAGCTCCTGGCCCTGCAAATGCCCTGATGATGTCTGCAGAGGGTAGACATTTGACAAGAGCCACGGGGATATTTTCCAGCTGAGTTAGAGGAGGAAAGGGACTGGGGAGGCCGGGCAGGAGGAGCACACACTACCGTGCTCCTTCCCTCTCCTGAGAGGCCTCGGCACTGGCACGAATGCTCTGCATCCCACCTCTGGCTCAAAACGCACACCCTAACCAGCAAGTCACAGCTGCAGGAGACAGCTCTCTCCTGCTCGTACCCTTCATTAGTGCTAACACAATCTTAACAGCTTCTCCTGCACAATTAACAGCCAGTGAAATACAGACTCGTCCCTCCTTGTTTGCTCTGCTTCCATCATCCTTAAGCAATCGATGCTCGCAGCCAAACCCTGAGGAGCAACTGTCCCACGGTGCCAGCCCAGGGCTGGACCCATTTCAGCAGGCTTTGCATTGCCAGGCCGCAGGTTTCCCCCACCAGGAGCTCCGTTTGGGATCGCAGCCGTTTGAACACCCCACACAGAGCTGGGTATGCCCCATCACCCTGCAAAAGCAGCAGCAGCCCAAAGCTCCCACCCTGGCTGCACTGGCATTGCAGGCCTCTCAAAATGCTGCTGGAAGCAGCAGGGTTGTGCCGGCACTGCACGCTCTGGCCTGGCACACTCCACTTCACAGTGGGACTAATTAGCGCAGGCAGAGCTCATCAGCATCGTTACCTGCTTCTGGGGTGGCCCTGTGGCCCCCGAGCTCTGGGGTTGAACACAGCACTTGGGTAGGGAGCTGCCCTGACCGTATCCCGTACATCCCTGCACCCCAAAGCAACCCAAATTATTCAGATTTATAGTACAGCTCCCTGGGTTATCTGAGCAGTTGAGGGTTCGGAGAGGAAAGTGGCTCCAGGTTTCCAAGAAGGATGATGTTTGGTATCCAAAGTTCCATGTTTTCCCATCCATCCCCCATGACTGCCCCTCTGGAGTCCAGCCCTGTGTAACCACCATGAAGGGCAGGAGGCGGCACGCTGCCAAATGCAGCACAGCCTGGAAAATCCCATCATCTTCGGTTCCCCATTTGACACAATCCTCCAGCAACAGCGATAGCCTAGGGAAGCTGTGAAGGGCTTCTGAGAAGAGGTACCGCTTCTGTTAATTATCCTACATGCACGCTCCAATCTTTTCTACTGTTTGCCACTGGAGAGAAGAGCTCGTTTAGAGAGAGAGGGGAAAAAAAATAAAGCAATTAAAAGGAGAGCTATAAGCTTAGCGAAGAGATAATAAATGACAGAGCAGCAGAATGCTAATGCCATGTTCTTGGCTCTTTGTGAATGGACCTGTTCAGCTCATCAGAGAAGTCCTGCTCCAGTGAGCAGATCTCTCCCCAAAGGATTGTCCTTCGCAGCTGTGAAAAATGCATGAGATATAAAAGGAATTTTAAAAATCCCCTGCCAGGACTAAACTTGTTTTGTCAACAGCCACATCCTCATAAGGACTGAGAGGTGCTTCCTCCTTCTGAGGGGATGCACAGTGGGTTGTAAGCACTGGAAGAAGGTGGGAACTGTGGGTCAGACAAAGCAAGATTCTTGCAGTAGCAAAGTAACATTTTGAGAGGGTTTCATCTCGTCATTTGTGACCCTAAAATTGCTTGACTTTCCATTTGCAATTATTTTTTCTTTCCCTTTAAAACTGATACATATAATTAGAAAATGGTGTAGATAACTCTGCAGGTATAACAGGATTTCCCAGGTGAACATCAATCTGATGATTTATAAAGCCCTGATCTGCCACTAAACCAAATATATACTTAAACGTGTGTGTGTACATATCATACACATAATTTATGTGATTCCAGTAGCACTGATATTAATAGTAACATATCATTACCTCCTCATTAATTTTCAGGCAGCTCCCCATAACGCACTGCTGAAACCTCCTGAAATAGCAGCTAAAACCAATAATGAAAAACCACCTAGCAACGTCTTGCTTTTGCCTCCTGCTCTGGTTGGGAGGAGGGAAGGAGGGCAGCCAGCGTGAGCAATGGAGAGAAAACCACCATTTGATCATCATTTTTAAGCAACAGCACGCTTACGAGTATAATTTTGCCAAAAAAAGGATTGAAATACGTGACACATTTTGCACGTTCCTACTGTCAGCTGAAACAAGTGATGATGGGGCTTACAGCACGGTCCTCACACCCTGCCATGGGTATCTTACAAAGATACCTATGCTCACTATGCCACATCTTCAACCTCCTAGGGACACCTCCCAGGCATTTAAGAAGAAAGAAGGAGCCTTGCTAATGCCCCTGGGCTATTTTGGGGTATCTCATTTCAGTTCTGCATCCTTCTAACCATACCTTACCGGAGCACTGAAACTGCCCAGACCAAAGCCCACCTCCTCACAGCAGCACAGATGCTCGTCCATCATTAACCAACCTCATCTTCCCACTGCTCTGCCCATCTTTTCTCCTTTCCACCATCTTCCCAACTAAAGCAAATCAAGAAACCAATAGAGATATTCGTTTTGTAAGGCAGTTCCCTGCTTCTAAAAATACTCCAGGAAATTGAATCAACATTTTGTAATTTGACTGGTAACAGCAATTACTAATAATCAGAAGGAACATAATTTTCTTTATTTTCTTCTCCAGCTGTAATGTAATTTCAATAGCAAACTTTGTTTTGCACACTAAATAAACACGATGGGCCATATGAGAAAAACACAGAGATAAAATGGAGCATCAGGAAACGTCTTTAAAAATAAACAAACTTCAATCAAATAGCAAATAATTGTCATTCACACAGTCTTTTGGAACGATAAAGTTAATATTGTCCCTATGTTCCCCTGTAAAGTGAGAAAAAGAAAGCTCCGCACGTCTTGCTTGGTGGCAGCAGTGCTCAAAATTGCAGCCCCAGTGCTGGGTTACGCTGGAGGCTGCATCCTTCCTGCCCAGCCTCCCACTGAGCCACCCATCTACTGCACAGAGAGCAAAAAACGGGGCGAGGTGAAGTGCACACACAACTTGAAGGACTGTACTAGATGCTAGGGTGCAGTCAAGCAAACTACTCGTTTCATAGTGAAAAGCACTTTTGCAGAAGGAAGGCCAGCTCTGAAATAGGTTTTCTGGAGGCCGAAAGTGCTCTTGTAGATAAAAAATGAGGAATATTTTCTTTCGCCAGCTTGATAAATTCACTGTAGGTGTCTATGCTTTCCAAATCAATCAGCAAGTGCCAATTTCATGCAAGGGTGTAACTTGGAAGGGTGACCAACTCATTGCTTTTCCTTCCAGCCAAGAACAGCAGGTGCTACACTGCTCTGTGCACATACTGGTCCCTAATGGGTATTGATGACTGGATCAAGCCAGCTTGGCAAAAGAAAACTACTACTGAATTGGGAATGCTTGCCATGCTCAGGAGCTGCTCAGTGAGACCTCACTTGCCGGCAGTGTGGTTGTATGGTGTTTAGAAATGGCCCATTTTCCCTCTATCCAGTCCCTTCCTATGACTCGAAGCAAGCTGCAGATTCTCCACTACCCCCAAGCAAAACCAGGCTGCAACCCCACTTCCCATTTCAAGAAGACCAGAAGAAACACCCTCAACTTCTTCAGCAGCAGCCCCTGTACTGGGCTGATGAGTTTTTCCCATCTGCTCCTTTGGTGCCAGCGCACTCCAGAGCGATCACTGCTTTCCAGGGGTTATTTTGGACGGATGGCAAAGCACGCACTACTCACACAGGCAAGACTCAATCTATTTGCTGCCAGGAAGCTTTATAATTAACCAGACTATTATTTTTCTAAGCACTTACTGCAAGACTTCTCATTTGAAATTGGATTCTCTTTTCATCTGCTTTTTGGACAGATTTTTTTCTCTCTAGAGGAATAAAAGTCACACTGGAATGTGACTCAAAGCTGGCTTTCATTTGAATTTCCAAACAGCCTAAACTACTCAAACTTTTGAAGGTGGGTTCCTCCCGGAAAGAGAAAACCCAGCAGTAAACTGCATCCTTTGTGCTGGTGCCCAGCACTGTCAATACCTGCTGGCAGGGGGTGGGCTCCCACCAGGTCTCCGCAGACCTCATGGTTTCGCATCAATCCCAAAACCTGCCAGTGCCAGACACTTGTCAAGGGGCTCACAAACACATGCACCAGGGGAGATTTTGGATGGCAGGCAAAGTAGGCACAGTCCAAGTGCAGGGGATAGAGAGATCACAGAGACAAGACCACAAATCACTCCAGTTTGTTGTGTGTAAAATTGCTGGACAGGACAACACTTACAGAGATTCACACAGGTACCTTTTATAGCGCAGTGAAGCTTTTAGATAAAGTGGGAAAGCTGAAGAGCCATTTAAATGCCATCACAAGAAAAACTAAGCTTCATTTCAGATGCCATAAAGATCAGGTTGCACTAAAGAAAATGGCCTGAAAAAACCCACCAAGACAACAGGAGTCGTAGTGCTCACCATGACGAGACACAAACCAAGCAGAAACGGAGATTTTGCAAAGCAAGTTGCACCCCTGCAGTGCTCAGCTCTGTGGAGTAGCACTGCCCCTGCACGCTAACGCTGTGACCTGTGAAATCGGGGGTGTCTGCACAGGGAACTTACTTGGTGTTGTCCGAGTCAATGGTATGAAAGAGCTTCTCAAGTTCTTCTTCGTTGAGTGTCCCATCAGAAAAAAAGGCCTGGAACTCTTCCAGGGACAGCTTCCCATCATCTGCAAGGACCAACACAGCTGCCGTTAGGGAATAGGCAAAGCAAGAGGCACAATGACTGAAAATCAAGAGTTATGTTCAGATTGAAAGGTTCAGACCAAAAATCATCCTCGAGTGCTTCTGCAGAACTGGCTCTCAACCAATGCAGAGCTCACTGGCCACAGGGTGGGAGCCAGGTGAAAAAGCATCTCTCCTGGGTATGGATGCACTGGCTATTACAGAAGAAACTTCTTCTCAGTGAGGGTGACAGAGCACTGGCCCAGGCTGCCCAGAGAGGTTGTGGAGTCTCCTTCTCTGCAGACATTCAAAACCCGCCTGGACGCCTTCCTGTGTAACCTCATCTGGGTGTTCCTGCTCCGGCAGGGGGATTGGACTGGATGAGCTTTGGAGGTCCCTTCCAATCCCTAACGTTCTGGGATTCTGTGATTAGCAACTAATAGGGCTATTAACCCAAAGCATAATTCAAGCCTAAAGAGGAAAAGCCTGCAATCTTCATCCTAAAACTGAATTATAGTTAAGAAATCTGGGAGCGTGTTTTCTATCCTATGTTCAAACGATGCAGGATGCTCATTAAGGGGCTGGAATTAACAACCGACCCAGCAGTACCTTTTGCCATCTCCATCCAGCTGCATCTTCTCCAACACAGTGCATCTCCCAGCTCTGGACAGAAATGCAAAACAGCAGCTACCAAGCATAACGAGGCACATCTTGCTTCAGTTGTCAACTGTTTCAACACACAAGGACTGTGTCACCTTAGCGTTGTGCCTTTACTTCTAAAGGGACCTGCTGACGCACACAACCCATCTGCACGGCCATACGGGCTACAGCTTGACTGGCAAACCTACCAGCACATGAAGGAGGCACCAGGCAGAGGTTTGATAAAGTTGTCCTGGGTACCTAGAGAGGAACTTACAGAAATTGAGAAACGGAGTGAAAGGCAACATCCAGGTTTGAAAATCTGGCCATACACTTTGCACATTATTTTATATACTGGCCTCAGCGTTGATTTAATACTAGTCTTAGTACAGCCTACTTAAATGATCTTAGTACAGCCTTATTAAAGAAATAAGCATTGGGAGAAAGACAAAATAAACTTTAAGACACTTCAATTCACCTCAGGTTTCTTATTCAAGTCACTGACACTGTGCCCTGGTGGGCAGCAGTGCCCAGGGGGGAAAAAACTACCCACAGTCAGGTACTATTTAGAGCCTCTCCATTCATATCCACAGAGGATTCATAGACTGGAAACGCTGCCTACTTTGCACTCGGCAAATGTATCATTTATTATTTAATCAAATCAATCATAAACTTATTGCTTCTCTTTCAGGAAATTATGCGAGGAGACAAAATTAGCCAACTTACCACAAACACATCAATATTTCTTCCCCAGACTAAATAAGTCTGCTGCTCCTAAAAACGTACCTGCGCTGCCAAATGCTAACCCAATTTCCCTTGCCTGACACAGACAAATTTAGACCAGTGATAAATTGAGTCCAAAATACTTATTTAATTGGCAATTACGAAAGGAACGCAGCGGGAGAACAACGTCTACAGCAACACTGGGTGACAAGGGTTTCAGAGCACCACAATGGCTATAGACAGGGCCCAGCTGCCTGTATTGTTTTCCTGTGTTCCTTCCCCAAAACGTGACCTCTCTGCAGCAGCCAGGGTGCAGAATTCCAACGCACAGCTCAGAGGATGGGTCCCAAATTTGCCGTTTCTGATTACAGAGAACTAAAGCAACTGTACTTCAACAGGTAACCATTGCTTGAAGCAGCCCACCAGTGTCCCCAGTCTAACCCAATGGTGACAATCTTTTCCCAAAAACAGTGCTCAGAGCAACAGCCACATCCACACCACCCCTCTCCACCTCTGCATATTGCCCAACCGGGTGAGGAACTTTCACCCCAGTGCTCCTGTGTATGCAGTATCCTAGCCAAAATCAAGGTTGGGTTTCTTCCAATCCCGACTGCCAATGAATGTGTGTCTTCAAGCATCAGGATCAAAAGAATAATGGCATTTCTATCCCACAAAGGCTAAACAGTTCTTTATCTGGTGTAGAATTCCTGCAAACCTTAAATCAGTGCTTGTTCACCTCGAAATTGTACTTCCACTGAGAGAGCGGGCCCACATCCATACCACCCCCCTCCACCTCTGCATATTGCCCAGCAGGTGAGGAACTTTCACCCCAGTGCTCCTGTATATGCAGTATCAAGGTTGGGTTTCTTCCAATCCCGACTGCCAATGAATGTGTGTCTTCAAGCATCAGGATCAAAAGAATAATGGCATTTCTATCCCACAAAGGCTAAACAGTTCTTTATCTGGTGTAGAATTCCCGCAAACCTTAAATCAGTGCTTGTTCACCTCGAAATTGTACTTCCACTGAGAGAGCGGGCAGAACTAAATTCCCAGGAAAGTCACATAAATCAACTTATTGGGAAAAAGAAATTGCAAAATCAAGTTATATTTTTCGGTAAAGCACTTTAATCCAAACTTCCCGTTCATTCACCTCCAAAAGACACAAAGGCATCGCTCTCAAATTTTGAGGAAAAAGTCTTTTTTCCTTTACCTAGTTTATATCTTATAACTTGTCTCTTCCACTTTATTCTTGTTTGATCTTTGGGGTGGGTTTTTTTTTTTCAGTAACACATGTCAGGCTGCATTTTTGCAGCGGCCTCTGAAATGTTGATGTCTAAAATCTGTGCCAAAATACTGCTCTGCCTCCTGTCTCACAGCCTCCAGAGTCACAGGTGAGACCGGGGAGGCAGGTACCAATATGTGCCAAAATTATTTTGGCATTTAACAGCACAAAGTAATACAGAATGGGTGAAGGATCTAGAAGAAGGAGAAGGTAACAGTGGATTTTATTTCCTTTTTGTTGCTTGGAGACCCCACAGAACTTGACCCCTGGCAGGGATTTGAATAAAAGCATAAATTTTACTCATAAACAGTGGTCAAAACCATCACCTCCCAACAAATAACACCACAAAGCACCACCCAGCTTAAAGCTGATCGCTATTTAATACAAACTGCAATACTTGTCTGCAAACACACAAAGCAAAAGCCTTCCCAAGAAAAAAGATAATCCCCAAGCTGCATATCTATAATTGTGAAACAGCCCAAAAGCCGTGGGCTGCTGGAGCCCAGCGGGCAAGGAAGCCTTTGGGGAACTCGGGCGATAAGGGGAAGCAAACAGGGCTGGGATTTGGCAATTAAAATGAAACTGGTAGAAAATCCTGGGCAAGGGGGCTGGCCACAACGTTGCTGACACCGGGGCTGACACGTGCTGCGATAAGAGCTGACAGAGATGCTGTGCTCCAGGAGCTGCCTTATCAGAAAGTCCCAGAAAAGCAAGTTTTTTGTGCAAGCACAAGTGCCTGCACTCACCAGAGAGCGGATAAGAATTCCAGGAACCTGCTTTTTGCCAAAAGCTCCTTTTGCAAGAGATATAAATTCTCCAAAGGGACTGTCAGGTGGTGTATCAATTGTATGGTTCAACCTTACCCCTGCCCTGCCCCGCAGGAGCTCCTCTGGGGATGCTGCAGTCCCAGGTATCTACTTCTGATAGGAACGATAACAGAAACATTGAGATTCCGCATCAAATCCCACTAAACAAAATAAAGTTTCCAGCAGTTTTAAGATCCAGAGAAGTCTTTGTGACTTTTTAATCTGGATGAACACACTAAAAGCAGGTAACCTACTTTCACATACTCACCCCCTCCCCTTTAAACCCAATACTCGAAGCCAACACCGACGCTGGCAGCAAGGACAAATGCCACCAACTAGAAATCACTGACATGGGCGCCAATTGACTGAGAAAAGAGATAATCAAGCCACAGCTATCCTGCCATCATTTCTTTCTGACAGAGTAATCTTCATCTTACTGTAGCTTTTCAAAATAATTCGATCACAGGCAAAGACCAAAGCAAATTACTGGCCAGACTTATCAAAGTTACAAATAACCAAAGAGAGAATAATGTAATGGGGAACATCAGAAAGTCCCAGCTGGGATTTTATTATTGCTCCATTTGCCACTGTGAAAATCCGAGGAGGTTGGGGGCATCTTTTATGCCTTCCAGCTTGCACAATCAGGCTGTTCCTACCTCCTAACGCAGCCAGGGGAAAAATCAAACTAAGAGCATAAATTGTCCAAAATATAGGAAATCTGATGTCTGAGCTTTTGGGAATTCAGTCAGCGCTACAAATAGCTGAAAGCATCTACAAAATAAAGTCACTGCTTTGAGACTGCGTTTGCTAAATCCATTTTCGACTACATCAGATTGAGATCGTTCATATATTTTTCTGGCGATATTATGAATATATTTCATTACTTACTTTTATTACTCAAGGAGTTCTAAAATCCTTTGAGCCCCATTTAGTGTGCAAGTGCCAGCAGAGCTATGGGCAAGTAAATCGGATTTTATTGTGGCCTGTGAATAAAAACGACCGCGTCTTTTTCTTCTTTCTAGGGAGTGTGTGTGCAGATGAATGAGCCAGTGAGAACGTGGGCTGGCTTCTACCCTGGACCCTTCATCCAGTCCCCTTGGAAGTCAGCAGGACCAACTTTATTCATTTAAATGAAGCTGGATGTAGACTTGATATGGTGGCCACTTGGATAGAGCGGCTGTTGCCGCTGGACCAGAGAACATCTTTGCTAATGAGATGTAACAAACATCACTAAAAGGAAATTACTACAACGACAGCAATTTTCTAGTGAAAGGAATAACTACAAAATCACCTTTTTTTTATTTGAAAGGTAACTAATGCCCAGCCCAGATGTTTTTCACAAGGCTTGGTACCACACCAAGTGATCCACATGGATACCCTGAGAGACGGATCGATACCTTCAACATCACAGTTTCCTTTTTGCCAAGAGCTAATACAAACCTCTGGGATTTGTATCTTCCCAGGACATCTTTTGTTCCTACGCTCGATAAGGCCTCGAAGAGCCATAAGTTACACATAGCAAATGAAAGGACATCTCTTAAGAAGTCAGCCAACA